GCTGCGCTTGGATTTCTGCAACCCCGACATCCCTTATCCTGTCTACATACTGGATGTCGACAGTTCCAGACTTAGAAACCTACTTTAACAAATCCTCTTATAGAAGTTGTTTTAAAAGTATATGATATTGCCGGGAAGCAAAGGATTAGAACCACTGACCTCCTGCTTTGTAGTCTACTGCTCTATCCACTATGCCATCTCCCGTTTGGCTTGCACTCTAACTTACGGTTACTTCATTGTGACAAGCACCATCTGACCTTATCAGGAACGTTTAGCAAAATTTGCCCACCTGTTTTTACATCCTCCTGCGGCACCTTTTCTAATGGTACATGTGACATCTGGATTGATCACCGTATATAGGGTAGGCTCCCTCGTGAGTATTTTTTGTGAGGTCACGCTTTCGAATGGGCTAAGAACTCCCATCGGTAACATAGCCTAGTGATGAGGAATGAATAAATGTACAACTGCCAACAGAAAAATCTAAAGGCAAACCTTTAACTATATTGAATGAGTTGTATCCGGCTCTTGAAACCACCAGTGAAGAGGCGAGCGAGTGCTCTGCTTTAATCCTTACCGGCTGTCCGCTCTTCATGGCTGACTAAATTTTGAGTAGATCATAAGAGCTACATAAGATCGAACAGAATCCAAGAAGTGGACTAACTCACGCTGAAACACGGAGCAGCTTTCGGCTCTACTGCAACTACTTTGGTCTGTGGAGAGAGTTCTTTGACAGCGACGCATATCCCAGCCAGAAGCGCTCCACCGCCGACTGGAACCACAACGGTGTCCACGTCTTTTACCTAGAGCAGAGAGTCTTGTCCATTTTCTATTTGATAGGTTACGTTTTACCTGTTCTACTATTTCAATAGCAATAGAACCAGCTCCAGCAATAACATCAATATGATCATGACCATCAATGAATGTTCCTCCGTTTCTTTAGCAAGTTTGAACGCTAGCCGTTTAGATTCCACATGGTTTTTACCCTGAAAAATTAATTCAAACAGAAGAAGAAATTAAAAAATTCCAGTGCACGGTTTTACCCTGAAAATGACGAAGAACAAACCTCTACCACAACTTTCGCTCCAAAGTCTTTACAAAGTGAGATGGCAGACAATGGTATGAACCTCGGAACCACAACAGTCAAGGGCACGCCTAACTGTTTAGC